TTAAGCCCTGCAAATACTACGCATTTTTTTAGCAGAATGTCGGTGCAGTGAATATACTGCATCAACACAGGTGGGCTCGTTCGCGTCCTTGTTTAATAAAACAATTGATCCTAAACGACTTGAACCTTGTCAGAACGTCTCATAGACTTTTCTTCAAAAGAACCTCCATCACATCAGTCGAAAGTCACCGCGTACAAACTAAAAAAGAACAATAAACCACGGTCGCACGCTTACCATCAGGCCAACAGCGAGCTTTGCGCATGACAGATGGGTTGCCAGACCAGCAAAGAGCCACCCGCTAGCAACATGGCGGGGCTCACGAAAAAACGTCCATACTTTTGCGTTGGTTTTGTGCGTCTTCATTTTTGTTTGTGCAGCGTGCTTTAAATGCCTAGATGTACCGACTGTTTTCTACGCTCGTCCTTTCGTTGTCTAGAAGCCCTTGATTAACTTCGACCAGCTAGGGTCCACTGACGTCCGTGCACAAAACGCACGGCACATTGAAGTTCGTGCATTTCTGAATTTGTTCATCGCAACTGGGGTTCAACCTGGCAGTGCAACTGCAAAGCTGCTACCATGGCCACCGAGAAAAATATCAAAATCGATGAGAAGCGCCTAAACCTCCGCACCGAATCAATGTATACCATGGGCCATTGTTATGAACACCAATCTAATCACCCTAAATTACAAGCAATGCTGCTCAAAAAGCAGCGCAACTAATAACACGGGCCCTGTGCAGCAGGTGGTGCCACTGGTTTCCATCACTGTCAGTAACTCCATGCTGATTGCTGAGGGACACACGCAGCAGAGTACTGGCATCTCAACGGCAGCGAGGCGCGTCACTTACTATGCCCATGAGTACGCAACACTTGAAACACACATTAGGCTAGTGTGCCTGCGCGTTCGACTGCGGGCTTGTCGTCCAGCACGCATGACGAACACAAAGTTGTGGTAGAAGTTGTTCTTGCAGCCGCTATACAGCACTGGCTATTTTGCATATGACCTATCGGCTAGTTAGAATATCTATTCTCCGTAAACTATCACAAAGATAATCATACTTCAACTGTTCGACCAAACAACAGGGAGAACGGTGAGTGCACTGGGTGTGTATTCTCTGCGGTACTCGTTAAAAAGCAAAAGCTGTTATGAAATCACAACACGGTTTTCGTAAAGCGTCAATACCTTTGAAAAATTACAGAATTCTTTTGATCTGCGCAGCTTCCTCCTCTATCCGCCGGAGCTTCTTGTCTTTTCGGGTGGATGTGGCGAAGAACCGGTTTTCACCTCTAGGCGCCATGTTGGATGTGCCAACGCACTACTGTGTTGCTTGTTCACCACATGCAAAGTGCAGGACGTGTGAGAGCATTTTTCTCAAAAGTTGTTATAGTTTCGAATTTCATTATTATCGCGTCTGTTCTCAAGCGCAGCCGATGTCAGCAACAGCGTGCACGTCACGTGTGCTCCTTATTTATTTATTTATTTGTAGATACTGCAATCCCACATGAGGGATTATAGCAGGGTGGGAAGTACAATCATAAATATTCCTAGGTGAACAAGAACAAAAATACGGAAGCAAAGTACAGTTCTCGGAATTACCAAAAAAGGGAAAAAATGTCATACAAAATTCACGAATACATGATCAACCATGGCGACAAAGTACAAAAATGTACATGATAATAAATATTCCAGAAACAGAGTCACATACGCAAGGATTGGAAAAAACACGGGTGTTAATTCTACACAATTTCAAATATATACACATATATACATACATATACATACACACATATGCACACATATATATTATGCAGTTAAAACACAAGGCAAACTTTTCAAGTGATGGCTGTAAAACAACGTCATTAGTTAGGTTGTTCGATTCCCCGGCTGTTCTCGGGAAAAATGAATACGTGAAGCAGTTATTGCGTGTTTGAAAGGGCGTAATGGAGAAATGAAGCACTGGCACTTGCAAAAAAAAAAAACGCTTTGTTGCAATGCATTTGACGATGTGCTGAACTTTTTCGTCGCTTTGAGGTTATACTGTTCATTGAGATCAGAAAATACATCGCAGGAAAGGGCGAGCGGTAATTTTCACAGTAATGACGCGACTGCGTTTTTCGACTTCTAAATCACAGCACCATCTTCGTCGTCTACCAATTCGAATTAGTTTCCGTGTGCAAGACCGACCTTTATCACCTACATTATCTGCAACACCCATGAAGACATGTAAAGCCTCAAGACAATGGTTGCAAACTGTGACGCAGGGGACAAACATCTCAGAACGGCGCACTGCATGCACAAGTAAATAGAGAGGCAGAGAAGTGCTAGCACGTGAAGCGACACGAAGTTCTGAGCGAACAATTTCATGGGCATTTTTGACATTGCTGCAGTTATAAAATATGGAGATAGTTTGTACACACGGGAACTATTCCTTCCCAAACAACGGGGCCTAAGACACCGCAGTTGTGCTTTCTATAGTTCTAACTGGTTCATTATATGCGTGTCGAGTTTACTGATTTTAATTGCAACATGTTCTCAATAAACCCAGTTATTTTTATTAGCGCCAGATACAGAAAGAAACACTACGCTGCAAAAAGAAGTTTAAGCGATGTACAACTTGCTACAACTTGCGCATGTCTTGCAGAAGCTCTTGTGCCGTTGTATCAATGGTGAGCGCAACCAGTCTTGCTGAGAAAATCAACGCCTAAGAGTCATTACATAAAGCCGTATGCGAGGCACGGCACATGGCCACAGCTGTACCGGAACGGCTGTAACTAATGCAGAAGCGGTGGCGCGCCACCGGCTCGAAAGCAAACTGCAAGCTCGTGGCGCATTACAGGGGGTGCCACTGTCGCAAGCGAAAGAAAAAAAAGTAAAGCGCTGTGGAGGAGGCAGCGAGGAAAGAGCAGATTGTGGTACCTTTATGAAATATAAGGTTTTAGGTTGACGTGCACGCCATGGTTGTCCGCCGCCGCCGGTGTCCGTAACCACTATCGCATGAACTAGGAAAAGAAAATTATCAGCATATCCACGGAGTGATTGATGATGAGCGAGGCGAAGCGTTCATCCATTCGTCCGTCCTTTTTTCTGTCTGTCCACCCATCCGTCCATCTGTATGTCTGCCTGTCTCTCCGCCCATCCGGCCACTATCTACTATCACACAAATAAAGAAACAAATTGACAGCAAATCGACGGAGTCAATGAAGACGAGTGGGCGGAGTGTCACTCCGTTCATCCATCTGTCTGTCCGTCCATCCGCCCCCTCTTATCACACTAGAGTATGCATCATACAACTAGGTGGTCACATTACGAGAGATATACAAGGGAAGGACAGACCCATGGCTTTAAGAGCTTCGCCACTAAAAAACTCAGCGAATCAAAAACACCCAGGTATCTTGCTATTCGAACCTGGGTACTCTGCTTGCCAGCCCAGTATTCCACCACTAAGCATGCTGGTGCTTGAAACTCACTTGCAAACCGACCTTAGGCAGGCTTGGTGTCGGGAAAGGAATCGCGTTAATACCAGTATTATTAATTTAAGAAAAGCAAAGGAACAATCAGATATCACATATTGCAAATCGCACAAAGAGCTGGTCGTCGAATGCCCCAAAGGTTGAAAAAAATTCTATCTTGTTCACATAACTGTGGCGCATACCCACTGTGGGAGATTTTGGTGTTCAAAAGAGCTGCCATATTTCATCATGGTCATCATCACAAAGTTCCTTGCAAGAATGCAGCAGGTGCCACGTTTATCCGAAGAATGTCGAAGTATGGCAAGAATGCCTGCCTACTACAAAATGATTATTGACATAGTGGGTACTCTGCTAATGTGCGTCATAGCTTTATGAAAATGATTTAAATTGGCTCCTAAAGGTCACTCTTTCAGCTTTCACTGGGATAGTGCTGGGCGTTTCGCGCAGGCCAGGTGGTTATTTGTAATGCGAATGCATTTTATAGGCGGGGCATGTCAGGCGTCTGTCAGTGTCCGCGCGCCAGCAGGCGTTATCTCTCCGCTCTCATTCTCTCTCCAATAGCAAAAACTGCGGGTGCGCGCGCTTCTCCTTGCCGCTTGAAGTCGAGCAGATGGTGCGGGTGGAATAGTGGAGAGTGATTGCAGAGGAGGTGCCCTCTCTGACGGGTGAGGGCGCTCGCATTGCGGGAGCTTGGTGAAGATCCCTCTTTTGTAGAAAGAGTGTAAGAGAGGGCAGGTGCAGTGCTTCGCCAATTCTTCTCTTGCCATTCCCTCTCTCCCGCACGCTTGCTCATACGTATATATAGGTGGAGTGGCGCGCGCGCATTACTCTTGACTGTTCGCTGGCTGATGAATGTTTAAATAAATTGTTAGGTGTTACGGTACAAATCCTAGTCGCGTCAGTAATTTACGCCAATAAATATACTGAACCGTGTACTCTCGACGCAAAAAAACAACATTCCCATTCCTAACGATTTCTTTCGGGAAGGTTGGAGAAATTTCTTACGCTGCCTTACTGTAGTTACCAACTTGCCGGCAGTGCGTGTCTGATGAAGTTTAAGTTTATTGGAAAGTTTTACTTCAGGTTTTGTTGTAGTGATGAACGCAGATGGAATGCCCGAGTTTAACAATAAACAGTTAGGTAAGGTTGTGATTGTCAAAAAATTTATATTCGTAAAATCAGAACATCAAATGTAATATTGTATGCGAGAAAAGGTTCAATAAATATAGCCTTAATTGAAATTGCTTTTGTGCGCCGAATAGAGATGAAGATAGCTTTTAAAAAGTGAACGCAGGCTTTTTGTATTGTTTAACTTGCCTCCGAACGATCCCTGCTGCCGTAAAAAACAACGAGGTATAAAAAACGCGAACTATGAACGTGCCGTTCTTTAGCACTTCAGCCTTGCACGTATAAGAACTTCATTGAAATGTCAAAGCCCATCATTCGGATGCTTAAATGTCTTTGTATTTCGATAGCTATAAAGGAGCGGATGTCCTCTGTGCGTGTTCAACAAAAAAGATTGCAAAGAAGCGTCATGGCTTTTCCGGCAATTGCTGCATTTTTTCTAAGCGCTTTCTTATTCTCCCCCGCGTTTGGCCAGGAGTATGAGGCAAGCTCGAACGAGACGAAAGTTGAACATTACCCGATAGACGAGGCAAGCTCGAACGAGACGAAAGTTGAAGATTACCCGATAGACCAAGTAAGTCAGTCCTAAAAGTCTATCCGGACAAATTGTTTATTTATTTTACCCGGCAATTCACTCTTAAAAGATCGTTTGGACAAAGCATTTAATTGTTTGATTAGTCCATGATCGGCTTTTACAATCTAAAATATTCAGGTGTATTATGTACACCATCAATGGGAAAACCGCCGCCGAGGTGGTATATTATCCAAGATACTCGGGTGCTGACCCGCAGGTCGCGGGTTAGAATTCTAGCTGCGGCGGCTGCATTTTTGATGAAGACGAAAAAGCAGTAGGCCCCCGTGCTAAAATTTGGGTGCACGTTAAAGAACCCCAGGTGGCCGAATTCCCGGAGCCCTCCACTACGTTGTCTCTTATATTGATATGCTGGTTTTGGGTCGTCAAATCCCACTATAAATCATCAATCAACAAATGGGGAAATATTTTTTGTTATTTTCTACTCAAAGCAGCATATGTATGTATGATTTGATACATTTGGGAACTTACACAAGCACTGGCACTATCACTGCAACATAAATGAACATGTTTAAATCCGACGCATTTACGTGGACGATCATGCTGCCACGCACGTTTTTTACTTCGATTGATTGTTATGTAGGGTTTAACGTCGCACAAGTTTCTTACTTCGCTCTTCCTGTAATAGGTTTACGCCCACAAATACCGTGAGCAATACTCAGCCTAAATCGTGGCCCCGTGTCCGAGGGGCTTCACCACTGTAGTCGTTTTGTTAAGATCGTGCGCCAGACGCGAACACTGCAGCTTTTTCTAACGTATGCGCGACGACTAGGGATAAGGCTGAGAAATTCGGTGCATGGTGTATAAAACATGGCACGTTCTAATAATGAACAGTCTCTTTGACGACCAATGTTCTGTGCGCCGATATTTGCGTACAGCGAGCATTGCTCGTGGTAATTTGAGTTTCCGTTTCAGCGCAATTAAATGTTTCTCCTTCAAGATGCCGGCTACACCGCTCATAAACGTCGTGACCTTGTGGCATATTGTCACGAGCTCGTGACAATATTTTCGACGATCAATTGTTCTGCTTGTTGCTGTGACAAACTGACTTCCTTCCTTGTAGGCTTTAGTGCAAGCCACACAGCGCGGAACGAGCCCCCATTTAGTTACTGTATTTTTCAGTATGGCAGCCACGTGAGATACTGAGAAGCATAGAATAAGAACCTGTGTTTTTATCTTCAGTAGCAATGCACGGAAAAGAGAGAAAATATTATGCCATTAAAGTTGATGTAGAGAAAAAAACCGTCAGCGATGACTGGCGCAACGCAGCAAACAGCCAACGATGAAAACAGCCTTCAGAAATCCAAAGGATTGCCACCTGCCAGCGCTATGTGTACCGAGTTTACTGTTTTTTTCTCGACTATATAATATATGCGCATTCATGTAAGCGCATTCTCGGCATATTTCACACAAGTGACCCATCACATGCCGCATTGCTGTATGATACTTTACGCAACGAATGCCGGTCATGAGGTCAGCAAAAAACATCGGTATTCGGCTGTGAGGTTACGACTTTTCACTTCTGAATAAGGCAGAAAATAGTGACTTCTGATTTTTCGCTGCTGACTAGAAAACAGAAAGTCGCTGATAACTGAGCGGTGATTATTCATGGTATACGAAGGCAGATTCCGGAAATACTCACTAATCAGTTTATTACAAGAGCACAATGTCAATTGAAAATGCACTTTTTTGTGACCTTATGTGATATTAGGAAAAAACTATTGTCCTTCACCGGCTCAGTGCACGTACCGTCCCTTCCGTTGAGCCCACCAACGTACGCGTAAGTTGTGGTCGCGCCTTTTTGCAACGTAAACTCTGTGTTGCCGTTGCCATCATTTGCATTGGTTGCTGCTGCACCACTGGCACACTTCCTGTATATGCCACCCGACCGCCCATCTGCCCACCTGAGTGCGCTCTCTCTTGGTGCGCCGAACACCCTCTACTACTTGTCTTGGCCCCGGTCCCATTCAATATACCTTTACTGTAGATACCGCGGCCGTTTATCACTCTTTTCCCGCAAGCGCCAGCAGGACGAGCGTCGGGGTTACGACATGCGCGAACGGGATTGTTCAAGTAGCGATTTTAATGCCCAGAGCTATTCATCTCCTAAGCAGCGGTACCCATCTCCACCCGCATCGACTGAGGCGCGGAACACTTACCGTTCAGCCCGACACCAATTGCCTTCCCCCTATCGGCACTTTTCTTCAACTCGTCCTGCCTCATTTACCACTGACAGCCGATCGGAAAACTAAATAATGCAGTTTTTGAAGGAGGAACTGCTTGTAAGAGTAGGAATAATATTCCTCCAGCACGCCAGTTCAATATGGTTTTCGTCGTAGTGGAAGGCCTTCTTGTAGATGCTTTGGTGAACATCGGAGGGACATTTTCTGTCATTAGCTATGATTTGTGTAAATTCCTTAAGAAAGTGATGACGCCTTATAGTGGGTTTACTCTAGTCTCAGCACAAAGGAACATCATTCGCCCTTACACTCTTTGTACACTCCGTGCTTTTATTGACGACATCCTTCACTACATCAAGTTTACTGTGCTCACCCGGTGCTCTCGCCAAGTATATCTTGGGACTTTCTGTCTTCTTCGGTGGCCATACGTTGTGTTCTGCATTTTACTGATACAGGCTCTATGCTCGACAAAGACATATACAAGCCACCTCGCCTGATCGTTCCGGAAGATTTCAAACTACTGCCACGCCAAGAGTAACAGTGACCCTAACATCTAAGGACATCGACCGTGATGACGCCTTGGTGTAACCTTCGTCAAATAGCGTTACCAAAGGCATAATTCTTGCGTCAGGTGTGGTACGCTTTCACTGCGACTCTGTGTTCATGATTGCTGCATCGAAGAAAATTCTCCTTCCACAAAGCACCACAGTAGTCTATGTTGTCGATGGTCAGCCTATAAGCGTCGCATCACTTAAACCTGTCTTCACCAAAGAACTTCCTACTTCTGAGTCTGTATCTCCATCCCCCTCCCAAGCACTTATAAGCAGTGACTTCATGGCTACAGAGGCACTCCAGCTGCTTGCTTTGCTAACAAAAACACGCCGATTCTGCTCCTCGATATTGGGCCAGACTACTAATGCAGTACATCACATTTATACAGAAACAATGTTTTTTGCAACGCCACCCATACTTAGAAGTATGGCAGCTTGTGCTAGTTATATGGCATGACGATAGTTATAGCGCGAGAACAAAACGACGACACAGAGACAAGAAGGACCCGAAAGACACGAGCGCTCGTGTTTTTCGTGTCCTTCTTGTGTCTGTGTCGTCGTTTTGTTCTCGCGCTATAGCTATCGTCATACCCCGTGTCTCTCGCAGAGCGAAAAACCAACGTGGAAAAACGCTGACATGCTTCAATGAGACGTCATTCAGTCATCAGCTAGTCCATGGTCATCCCCTGTTGTTTCGGTGCGAAAGAAGCATGGCTCCGTGTGCTTTTACATCGATTACCAAGGGCTCAACAAGATCACACGTAAGAATGCCTACCCCGTTCTACGCATTAACGACGCCTTTGATTCCCTACATGGCGCGCAATACTTTTCGAGCCTTGATTCGCGTTCAGAATATTGGTAAAATCTAATTCATGAAGACGATAAAAAAACAGAAATTTCAAGTCCCGACAGGCTATACGAATTACACGAGATGCCGTTGGGTTCTGCATTGCACCCGCGACCTTTGAGTACATGAATGGCTTGTGGTGCGTGGCCTTAAAATGGAAGCAAGATTAGAGAGTGGGCTAGTTGGTACTCCAAATGTTTTACAGCTGAAGCACAAAAACGTATACAATGGACGAGGGGACAACAAGGACAGTTCATTGTTTCTGATGTACCTTTTATGTGGTTCGAAGAATGCCAATCCATGTTTGACTTGTTGAAGGAAGCACTGACGTCAGTGCCAGTACTCTTCCATTTTGATGAGACCACCCCGGCACTCTTGCATACAGATGCCAGTGGCTGCAGTATAGGTACTATTCTTTTGCAACGTGATGACTCTTCACGGGATAGAATCATAGCATGCGCTGGTAGAGTGCGCACCGCTAACGAGAACTATACGATCACTGAGCAGGAGTGTATTTCTGTAGCTTGGTCAGTACAGAAGTTTCATCCTTACCTGCACGGCCGTCAATTCATCAACCTAACGGATCACGATGACTTATGCTGGCCATCTAAATTGAAGAATCTGTCCAGGCACCTGGGTCGGTGAGTTTTACGCCTTTGAAATTATTTATAAATATGACAAAATACATCAAGACGCCGATGCTCTTTCACAATGACCACTACCTACAACATCGCCCAACGCTAGCTCCCACAACCATTTCCGAAAACACGAGTTTATTGGGCGTCACTTCTAGTTCCTTTGCCTTGCTCGCCTGGCTAGACCAGCTGCCTGCCGATGAAGAACAACCGTTCAGCTCTCGCCAGCTCGCTGACCCGTACTTTCAATGCATATAAAGCACCTTTCTCGAGTTTCGTGTCCACCCTACGCATAACTTCATCGTCAACTCGACTAATTTAGGCTGGAAGCAGTTTGTTATGTAGTCCCAATTATCATATCGTTGATCAACGCTGGGTGCCTGTTCTGCCATGCGCTCTTCGACATCATGTGCTTAGCGCCTTTCACGAGGATGTCATGGATGACCAGCTCTACTTTCATAAACCTACGACTGCATTCGAAGCTGATTTTACTGGCCTGGCCTTTCTACCAGGGAAGCGAGGTACGTGGTTCCTCTCGAATTCTGCCGACTCCTGCCTGCTGGCCAATTACAGCCAACTCCATGCCCCACAACACCATTTGAGGTTTTAGGTGTTAAACTTTGTGGGCCTCTTACTATCATTGCCGCTGAAAATCGATGTATAGTGCCCGCCTTAATCATCTGACGCGCTTGCCAAGACAACATCTGTGGTTACTGGTGCAGCTGCGCAAGTTACGAACTTCGTTCTTCAGACCATAATTACGCGTTAT